GATCGCTTCCATAGCATATGCTTTGGAAGCGATCGAAAAAAGAGAAAAATGTAGATGAAAGAGAAAAGACCGCCCTATCAACAAATGACATCATGTGTGGCTATTTTTTATCCATGTTCGTGGCCAAAAGGTGAATTGGGAATATTCCTCATTTGCTTTGTTTATAACTATGGCAGGGATTATAAAGATGAAAGTTATCATCTGCAAGTTTAGTACACGAATAAACTCTTTCTTAGAGTTTACTATTCTACTCTCTTTTTGATAGTTTATAGGCAAAAAACAGACAAAGATCGACAAGAAACTAACAAAGAAAAATCAGAATAGCCTCTTTTTTTAACTTGTTTTGCGTTTCAATTACCAGTTATATCCTCAAAAAAGTGTACTTCTCGAATTAGTAATTTTAAAAAAAATTAGTCTGAGGGTACTATAGTTATGGTTCTTCTCTTAACTTGTACGTGCACCCCTAGTCAAATATTTTGAGTCTTATTAATTGAGATCAAAATCTACATCGATACCTGCATCCAACATCCACACCTAAAATACAAAGTCGACATCTTAGATTAACTGGTTGTTCGTGAATTGCTGATGACTAAATTTATGAAGCTACACCTCTTGATTTAATTGTACTTGAAAATTCTACAGGTATTAGACCGGCTAATTTACATTGAACATTCTTCCGTCTTTTAATAATTTTTACTGCTCTAAAACTAGCTTATTTTGTTCATTTTTGATCATTTTCACTGGTATAGCAATGAGGAAAATGAGAGAAGGAACTTTTTCTATTCATAGAAATCTAGTTTTCATCTAGATATCATTGTTAAGGCTCAAACTCAAACTCAAACTATATCATAGCATCTAGGAAGCCGCGGAGCATGATGAGTATATTGACTACAGTCAACATATATTTAAATTTGTGTCTATCAAGGATTTTATATATGAAAAGTTGTAAGTTCTTTTTCTGGTTCACTTTTAAGCAACTTGAAGACATTCTTTATGTCTATTCTTTTCAGTTCTTGCTTTTAATTATAAATAGATCATAACATATTCCACTTTAAAATGTAGAGTCTATTAGATATTATTTGATGATACTGTGAATATCTTGGTATTCAGAAAACTCATACTCTGAAGTCTAGCACAAAAGTCAAATCTTGTGGTTCATTTCATTCTTCTATGGGCAGAAATACTTCAATATGAGTTGAAAAGTCTTTTAGATGTGGTAAATAATCCTATAAAATAAGACTCCATTAAACTTCAACTATTATTGCGAAAAAATTAAGTTATTATTAAAGAAACTTATAACCTACAAAGCAATGATTATTCAATATAAATGAATTTGACTAGATGGATGAAAAGCTTTCAAAGAGTTTTCTGTGACTGTAATACACGTTGCTACTATTAGAAACCAGAACTTTCCGGAGATTTAGACTGTGCAGCTTCATGAGGTGGTGCTAATACACTTTTCTCGAAAAGGTAAGTTATTACTTGACACATTTTAACGTACAAGTTACTAGAAAGTATTTTTTGTAACTTAACCGATCAGTTCGGTTCGATTAAATAAATTCAAGTGATTCGAGCTCTGAATTGTATAAAATTTACTACGGATGATAGTTTTGCATCTAATACAGACGACTCGAACTATAAAGAAAGTCTTTTATCATTTTAACGTCATTTTTTTCATCATGTTTTATTTTTTAAGCAAAAATCGATATTACCTGATCATCTTCTGTTGACGAATCCTTTTCTATTGGTGAATCATCTTCAGACAAGTTCAATAGATCTGTAGTCGAATTAGGATTTACATTCTCTTCTTTTCCCAGTTTCAGACGTTTATTTGCTGGTTCCGTTGTCATTTTGAGAAATACTCATTAATATTATCTAAAAGTAAAACATTCGATTATGTAGTGTTCTTTCAGAGTAATGAATTTTTATAAAGTACATGCTCTACATTTCATTCCGTAATTGGATAATTCTTGGCAGAAGTATCATCTCACAGAGTTCAAAAAGCAAAGACTCAATTCAAAAATACAGAAAAAACTGAAAGAGGCGATAGCCCTGATTACTACTTTGCGAAAAGTATTCTGTTCATATAAACAGCTATTTTATAGTGATGCTTGCCGCGTACAAATTTGGAAATCACTACAGAGAAACATTGAGGTGACAGTGAAATGAAATCTATCATAGCAGTGGCGATGGAAGAAAAAAACAAGTTATTGCCTTCCAACGCTGTGTACTAGTCATATTCTTAATATCTGACACATTATTGTGTATCTGTATACACATGAAAAAATACATTACTTAAAAAATTCAAAAACGAGTTTCAATGATCTAAGCTTCGACTAATGGTTTAGAACCTTCTTAAGTGTTTGACAAAATATTCAATATCATATCAATGATTTTATTTAATTAAATTTTTCTTGATTATTAATGCCTACATTGAGAAGGAAGGCAGATGAAAAGCTCATTTTTTTGAAAACAGTTTTGTTTTCAGCAAAAACCAACAAAAATAATTTGTCAAGTAAAGTTAAATCGTCGAAAGCAAATACATTGTATTCTATCTGAGTCATTGGATGCGATAAAATGCATGTTATAATAAATCCAAGAGAATTGAGAAAATCAACTTACCTTCTTCGACTTTAATTTATGTGTATAATAACTTGAAACAACTCACTCGATAAAATAAGTCATGAGAATCTTTTGTTAACGATATCGCACTCAATTTCAAATCCTATATTATAATAGCAGCAAAGTATTTGTCGATCGTAGAAATGGAAAAACACAAGCATATGGAGAAAAGGAAAGAAAAAATGCAAAAGGTCATGACAGAAAAAAGAGATCATCTACGACTAACAATAATAGTAGGCATCATAGAATATTCTTGTTGATTTTTATAACATTGACAGAACTCAACATAGAAGAAAAGAAAAGAAAAAGATACTAAAGAATTTTTAGCGTGAAGCTTTTGGTTTTTATCTCATATATCACATGAAAGAACATATGGGTATCACCAACGATACGAAATTTCAGTGTTTTTACTTTACAGCATTCTTATCTTCTCAATCATAAACATAAATTCTATAAAATTTTTATCACAGATGGAGACTATTTAGAACTACTATCGATGTAAACGTCATCGATGTTTCTTTAGTGTGTGGGTGTGGATATGGGTGTGCATGAAGAGAAGACACATTCACACCTAACACCCAACACCTCTTTACTTATCGTAAATTAAAAACAACAATGAGTTTTTGTTTCGATAATCTGAAATTGTCGGTTCACAAACCTTTCCTATCGAAACGCCAAAAAATGACGAAATTCCGTAACAGAGTATTTTTGATTTTTCTATTTCCTACAACTGCGCATGTGACGAGGGTGTGGGTGGGTGCCGGTGTGGGTGTGAGTGGACAATGTTCATCGACACACGCTCACACCCACACTCACACCAAAGAGAAAAATAGTGCCTATAAAAACAAATTAAACGCTCACGAACCTTGAATTTCTATTAAGCAAAACCACGACATTCCTTCCTACTCTTTGTCATTCTATATCATTCTTAATTAATTGGTTAAAAAACTATGTTAACTATTTATTCCAGCAAAAATATATAATTGATTGTCTTAATTGATGTCTATATATGAATAAAACTCGACTATTGTTACTTTAGGAATATGTCCGAGCAAATTGTCATTGTTGTTCATGGTATTGATGACAGTAATATGACTTCGTCAAGCAGTTAAATGTTTCAGATTAGGTGCCAGAGGAAGAATACGTTTTAGAGTAGGAAAATCAATGGATTGAACATCACCAAGATAAAGTTCTGTAACTGTTGATAATGTTAATTGTATGTTCTGAATAAGATCATCACTTAAATTACAGTTCCATTTAAAACGAAGATGATGTAGAGAAGGACATGTCTGCCGTATAAATGTGAATAGAGCAAGATTTAATTTCTCTTTACAACGAAAAGTAATCATGAGAATAGATGGAAAAGATAGAATGACTTTGGATTCAGGATAATTACAGTGATAGTCAACAAAATCATTGGTTACATAATCAAGTCGATCGAAAAAGAATGGTATTGCAAATCGTGTAAGATATTGATGCAAATGATGTATTGAAACGACTTGGTTTCTTGTCCAACTGTCAAATGTATGACGACGATCGATTCCCAAACTTAACAAACCACTGTGAACACAAAAATCGATTGATTTCATATGTAGTAAATGATTGAGCAAATATCGCTCGAAATTACCCCGCGTCGCCATAAGAAAATGTTGACATGTGCCGATGTAGAATGACAAATGTTCGAGCGACAAGAAAAACCTTTTAACAAAAGCACAGAAACAATTCGTATCCATATACTGATCATAAGCGATAAAACGTAATGATCTAACTTTTGTTGGCCATTCTTGTTCTTGCAACAATTCAGACTTAAAACAGGAAACCGTACTGTAAACACGATGGAGGCGAAGTTCAAAATATTCGAGATTAGGTACAAACGGCATCAAAAGAATGGCAAAACAAATATGACCTAAGTCAACTGATAAACGAGTGAGATGTTGATTGATCATAAAAGAATGTGACGATATTGGGAAAAGATCATCTTTATCCAGTATAAAACAATTTGAGGTCGATAAACTTTCTAGACAACTATCAGAATGCCATATAAACGAAACTAATCCTTTAATTCTTTCAAGTTTTTCAGAAGTTAAAGTAATTGAAAATATTTTGAGTCGAGTAAATACGATTATTTGAGATACTTTTTCAGAGACTGTTGTTATCCGAAGATCAAGACGGTTAAGTCTTGGAAATATGGAAGACAATCGATAATCGAAATGATCAAGATTGATTCAAAGTGATAAAAGTGTATTTTTTTTGAAAGATGATAAATAAGACAACCATCTATCAATTGAAACAACAGATGTATCACTCGTTGGCAAATCAATATGATGAATATGTGCACAAAGCAGGGCATTCAAACGACGATTGTACAACTGACCAAACGCATGTAATAGATTTGTTGAATGAAGATAAATAAAAATATGGTAGAGTAAAAGTTCATTGGACAATGAAAGCAGAACTGTTGATTCTAAAAAACGAAAATTTTTTATTGGTAAATAATTAAACCTTAACAAATTATTACTCACTGTTCATTTTCATTTTTACCATATGACATCTTGACCTCGAACATGTTCAGTTTTATACAATGTAATTCATTGTTCATTTTCTTGATGTCCTATTGTTTATTGTATCTTATAATTCGATAACAATAAATAATTGCTCATCATAGAGGTCATCTTATACATAGCTTACGATTAGGAGGGGGAAGCAGGGTGATTTCCCCCTCCTAAATTTTTTCTTACATTCTGCCTTTCTCCCAGGAAATTTTCTGTTATGAAGAGCTAACGGTTTTTAATCTTTCGGTGGACCAGATTGGCTATACATAAGCGAAGTTCTGTTTCCAATTTTTTTAAGAGAACAAGCTATTTTCTTTCAAAGAGAAACTGAATCAGGTAAAGAGAAAAAAAACTAGGCTGCCACTCGAGCAAAGCTCGAATAGACAAGGCGGCTGACTGCACGAGCCTGAAAACTGCCAGAGCACGACTGTATACGATATCTGCTATTTCAAAATCTTAGACTCAGATAGAGGAAATCATTATGAATTTAAGTCTTTTTCTGATATCCTGACTCAACTGACAAGTGAGAGATAATGAATCTGAATCTGCTATTGCTATATAAAGAAAATTGCAGCTGTCAGGCCATACGATTAGGGAGTGGAAGATGGGGATTTTCCCTCATCTAATTCTTTTCTTGCGTTCTGCCTTTCTCCTGGAAATTTTTTTTCAGCTGCTGTTTAGCGGGTTTTTCGGTATTTTCAATAGAGGAAATGCATCGAAATCATACAAAAGAGAAAGCTTTCTTTAAGTTTCTGCTACTTTCTCCCTGCCTTTGGGAGACTTTCTCCCTGACTTTCTTCCCCTCCTGAATAAAACTAAACGAAAGCTCTGATCTTATAGTATTGTTAATCCTACCACTGGAGAAAAAAAACGACTTTTATTTTTGCTTAGTTTTATCAATGACATCAATTTTTCAAATATTTATTGTAAAAAAAGAACAATTCTTACAAGATGTTTCATTTGTCTAGTCTCTAATTAGGAAATGGGATTCGTCTTATTTTCATATAGATGGTGAATAATAGATAGTGAGGCATCTTCTTTATTATTTGAAATGAACATGTGACGAGCCATATGCAGAAACTTAAAACAAATACTGCTGATATAATCAAAATGAGTTAGAAGATATATTTTTATTAAAACTACTTTAAATGTTAGACAAAATAAAATAATAATGTAATTTTAATAATTTACTCTAATACATGATCGATGCATTATAATAGTAGAATTAATACAGAAAATATTTAAATAGATTATTTGAAATTATTTAGTATTTTTTTCCCGATTTATCAATATTCGTCTGGCTTTTAGATAAAACTTAATCATTTTAAAAATGATCTATTTGAGAGTATTTCGATTTTGAAATCAAATTTCATTTTTGTTTTTAAATATTTATTAATAAATACGAAAATGAAAGTATAACCAATGTTTGAAAAATACAAAATAGACATCGGAAATAATTTAGTCAAATGATTGTAAACGATTATTACTATTTCGAAAAATTCTATTTTCTATCTATCTATATATATAAAGAAGAAAGTTTATCTGTTTGTTTTTCATGCATTTGGACATGGTACGAGCAAATGCGATGAAATTTTGCAGAGAATACCCCTTCGGCCAAAGGAAGGCCACAGGGTAGTGTTCGACCGAAAATTTTTACTTGAGGGGGTGTTTGCCCCCTTCTATTGTCGGATTACTACAGTAAGTGCCTTTTTCAGAGAGTCTGTGCACGTGGTTGTTTCTCAATAATTCGAGAACAAAAGTATATTAAAACCTGCGCTTTTTGTCATTGGCCACAAGATATTTTAGAATAATCGAAAAACAAACGAAGAGAATGTATAAGATGAAGAGCAATCATATGATTGGAAATATTCATCGAATGAAGAAGGCAACAAGTGAGATGTAATTTCATTACTCATGACTCATAATGGATTAAAGCAGAGAACGTGTTGTGAACAAGAGAAAATAACCGAACGTATATCTATCTATATATAAAGAAGAACGTTTGATTGCTTGCCTGTTCTTTATGCATTCTGTTCCTGTAATAGCTAGCGTCACTAAAGTTCTCATCGCATACTTCTTGGTCCAGAGGAAGACTGAGACATGAGCGGCGCCAGCGAGGGTGGGTGTAAGTGTGGGTGTGAATGTGGGCAGATGCTATTGTAGGTGTGAATGTTCTTCTTCTCTTTACCCACACCAACACCCTCACCCACGCCCATAGCAATGCCTCCCTATCAAAATATTTTTTCCAACCTAATACATGGAGTTGATCGACTTAGCCAAGAAATATTCTGCTACAAGCTTGATCGCAAGCCTAAAAGAAACTGGTTTCGAATTTTTATTTATTTTCTGAATATGTCTATTTCAAACTCGTTCAGCTAAAAAATTTAGAAAATATTCAATTCAAAGAGATGACGATTCTTGTATAGAGTGAAAAATTTGTTGATGATATTTAATGATCAACTTTGTGAGAACACAGATCGTTTCGTGTAATTATTTTTTTTCTGACGACAGTAAAGAAAAAATATAATTATATTTGTTCTCTCAAGCGTGAATCATGATGATGCACACAGTTCTGCTTGATTAATCGAAAGAGCACCAAATAAAAAACACGTTACCTATTAAATCAATGAGAATATTAGTTTGTTAAACATCGACAATAAAATGGACAGGTATATGTCGTTTTTTAATATAGTGCTGTGATGTTCATTCACTCTAAGTTAAAATGTGTCGGATGTGTCGTGATTCACTATACATTCAAGCACGACACGAGGTGCTCGTTACGACACATCCGACACATTCTGAAATCACTGTTCGAGTCTAGGCTTCACTATATCCATAATTTTTTTCTTTCGTGCATTACATTCATCAATATTTAATTAGTACAATTAACATCAATGTTTGATGCAACATTGTAAACCAGGCAGATCTTGAGATCCAGCCGTGTAAGGCTAGTCAGATCTTGCTCGGACTGTTGCCAGGTGGACCTCTCTTAAAGTGAGGTCATTATTTCTCGAAATATTTACAAGAAATATATAATCGAGAAATATATTATATAGAATGATGCACGAAAACTTATGATTTTCATGTGATATTTCAGATCGATTATATATAGATATGCACTCGGAACAAAATCGGTGAATGAATAGTCATCATATACGTACAGAACGGTTAAAAATACGACACATTAAAGTGCGACACATTTTCTAGCTGAAACCCACGACACTATAATTAACGACGGAAGAAGTCGACACATTTTAACTTAGAATGTTACGAGAGTAACAATTCAGTGGTGAATAACGAAGAAAAGGAATGAGTATGCAGCTTTATCTTCCAAATAAAAATAGACAACTATCTAGTAAAATAAAGGACAAGGGAAGTCATGCTTGCATTAACGCTTCAAATAGATGAAGAAACATACAAATAGAGCATAAAGATAAATTATTAGATAAGAACAGTAAGAGAAATAATTACTAAATATTGTTGTAGTCAAGTTATGATATATAATAGGTTTGTTAGAGATTGTTTTGGACGCGATAAATAGGATAGCTGCAGTTATACTGCATATGAGTCATTATCGATCTACTCAATTGCTGATGCATTTGTAGTGGATATGATATAAAGTACTTGAGATCTTCGTGGTTCCACTGTCAAAATGGAAAAATCAGCGATTTACTGACAGAAATATTTCCCAATACGAGTATGACAAACAGGAAAAGAATGAAATATGTCATAGGTAATTTATAACTTCAGGTGGCATTTTTTTAAATAGTAGTATCAGCCTTGTGCCGATAAAAAATAGAGGTTTGTTCACAATTCACTGTATCGAAAATCAATTAAATAGCAAAGGAGCTGATTTTTGTTAACACTAATAAAGACATCCTCATAATCCCATACGTACAAGAACAAAGTTAGAGAAAACCTTTATCACATATTACAGTTGAGTTCATCAAAAAATTTTCATTCTGTCACAGAGTGAAAGGTTGTTTGGTATATCTCGATCTTATCAACAATGTTCAGACATTATACCAATAAATTGATTCGTCATCATGGTACATTGTTGTAACGAGTCTTAAAAGATGGCAAGTTTCGCTACGGCTGCAATATTTCTTTTTATTGTGTGATCACAATGGCAAACTAGAGGAGTAGCGCTTTACCGCTATGCTTGGTATACGATGCTCACTCCACTACTGCATCATCCAGTTGTGTTTTTTCTCATATAAAACACAAACCTATATATGAGAGAGGTAAGAGAGAAAAGATAAAATATGAGAAGCACATTACAACACAGAGAATGATATTCAATCGTCTGCAGATGAGCGTAACAGCGAAGCGATGATACAAAGTAATATCGATTGTATAAGAACATACAGAGAAAGGAAAGATATTACAGCAAATGATGTACACATTGGCACAATTGTCTTCATCTATCTGTGAGAAAGTAGAAGTTTTTGTCAAAGTTTGTGGTGATCCTTAACACAGGTCTTCTCTAACTTTTTCTTTATAGATATAGAACATAAGCATGTATTTATTTTTGAAAGGTAATCTGTTTACTTGCTTGAGCCGTAGCAGAGGTTATTTGATTGTTTCTCGATAGAGTGACTTTTGTCCATCTGGCACATTTTGAACACAATAATTTTAACAGGATTGATCAATAGAGATGAAAGAGAAATGCAATTCTCACAACTTCATTTCAAAGTCATCCATTCTGGTAATATTCAAATCCTTTGACGATAAAAATGTTATTCTAATATTAATAAATCTAATATGGAAACTGGATAATTTTTTATTTCTTCATATAACATCTGTTCTGTTCAAGACAGTTTTATATCCATTGTCCTAAAAGAAAGAGATCGGCAGAATAACTGATTGTTGATAGTGCTACAAGCAAGGATGACAAAATCACAGAGAGATGGATCTTTTTAATATGATAAAAAAGAACAATGATCGAAGTAGTGAGCATGCTCGCAAGTGTAAAATAATATCATAACACTCCAGCGCTTAATGTTGTGAAAGTAAGAACGCATTTGTTTGGAGCTTCTTTGAATCCTTGCATATATATTCTATTTATCATTCTTTTCTCGTGATAGATTTGCTTACTACTGAAAATGACGCATAAATTGCCGCATCCATCACCTTATAATGACTTAACCGCCTCAATGCATGGCATTCCAAGTGAAATGGTTACGGTCTCATTTCTAAAACAAAAACCAAATCTGTTTCAACGGATAATCGACTCCTTCAAACCTGCACCACCATCTAAAAATGTTTCCATCGAAATGAATGATTCAGAAGGAGGAAAAAATTCGGATGATAATGTTAAGAAAGACGAAACTGGCTTGCATCGATCATTAAAAAATCGACATTTGCAGATGATTGCCATAGGGGGTGCCATTGGCACTGGTCTCTTTGTTGGCTCTGGTTCTGCTCTTGCAATCGGTGGACCTGGTGCACTCATCCTTGATTTTATTATTATTGGATTCATGCTTTTCAATGTATGTATGGCACTTGGAGAACTCTGTGTCGTCTTTCCTGTTTCTGGTTCGTTCATCATTCATGGTTCTCGCTTTCTCGATCCTGCATGGGGCTTTGCTATGGGATGGAATTACGCTTTGCACAGGTTGATTGTGGTACCACTTGAGCTGACAGTCGCTGGCATTGTCATTAACTATTGGTCAACGTCTGTCAATATTGCTGTGTGGATCACTATTTTTCTGATTGCCCTTCTCATTATCAATCTCTTTGGTGTTCGTGGTTATGGTGAAATTGAATTTTATATGTCTATCATCAAAGTGATCGCTGTTCTCGGTTTCATCATTCTTGGTATTGTCCTTGTTGTAGGAGGTGGTCCAAATCATCAGTATTTAGGTGGAAAGTATTGGCATGATCCAGGTTCATTTGCCAATGGATTCAAAGGTGTGTGCTCCGTTTTTGTCACTGCTGCTTTTGCCTTTGCAGGCACAGAATTAGTCGGATTAGTAGCTGCAGAAACAGAGAATCCACGAAAAACGATTCCTCGTGCTACAAAACAAGTCTTTTGGAGAATAACAATTTTTTACGTTGTTTCATTGATATTGATTGGTTGTCTGGTGCCCTACACAACTCCGCGCCTTCTGACTGGATCATCAAGCTATGACGCGTCTGCATCGCCTTTCGTGATTGCCATTGAAAATGCAGGCATCAAAGTGTTACCTTCGATATTCAACGCCGTGATTCTCTGTGCCGTTCTTTCAGTAGGTAATTCATCTGTGTATGGAGCATCGCGAACACTTTGTGCCCTTGCTGAAATTGATCAAGCACCGAAGATACTAACTTATATCGATCGGAAAGGTCGTCCACTCTCTGCTGTCGTCTTGTCAATAATTGTAGGATTTATTGCCTATATTAACTGTGCAAAAGTTGGTACGCAAGTCTTCCACTGGTTGCTTGCTCTCTCTGGTTTATCAAGCTTTTTCACTTGGGGTTCTATATGTGCATGTCACATTATGTTTCGATTGGCATGGAAAGCACAAGGTCACACTTTGGATGAACTTGCTTTTGTAGCACCTTTTGGTATAGCGGGAAGCTGTTGTGGTTTACTGCTCAACATTTTATGTCTGATTGCTCAGTTCTATATAGCTGTGTCTCCTATCAAAGGTTCTGGAAGTGCTGAATCATTCTTTGAAGCCTATCTTGCTGCTCCGATTGTGGTTATCTTCTATATCGTATGGAAAATATGGAAGAAAACACCATTCATGTGGCCGAGTACGATCGATCTCGAAACTGGAAGACGTATACTCGATGTACAACAACTAATTGATGAAGAAAAAGCGGAACGGAAGACCTGGTCTGTATGGAAAAAGATGTATTTTGAGTGTTGCTGAGTTGTTCTTCAATTATATAAAATCTTAACTACTATCCTTGTAATGTAGGAACAATGGATCACATCGATTTTCTCTAAGCATGATTTCTTTGTTGTTTGGTCCTTCATCTGACAATTGTACTGCTTCTGTAGTTTCTTCGTCTATTATGCATTCAATAAACAGAATATCTACTTTCGCATCTTGCAACTCGAGTGCCATTTGAATACAGATCAGTGTTCATAATTGCTGGAAATATCTATCACGCAAAATTCATTAACAATGATAACACATAATTTCTAACTAAATATTTTACTGCATCATGAAAACTGAGTTTCGGCTTGTGAGTTTAGTTAAAGTGAAACGCAGAGACGAGCATTATTGATAATTCAGTTGAAATGATTTTGAATCAAACTGTCATCTACCTAATTTAGCTCTTCTCTGTATGTGCCAGATCACAATGATCTTCAGTATTGAGTGTATAAAAATAATTCAACATGTAGATACTCCTTCTAATATGAGTAAAAAGGGAAAACTTATGTCGTTATAGATCGTTTCTCTCACATCGGTTATCGTAGAAACTTTGTAACTTGAAAATTTCTACAATTTACACACTAAACCGTATTTTAATCGTTCTCAAAAAAATGAAGATTCGTTGCAATCAATTTTCGTAGGATTGAAATTTGATTGCACTAAATTCTGTTTATTTCAGAGGCAAAAATTGTAAGTGAAACTAAAGGGATTTTATGTAAATTATAGAGCTATTTAGGGATGGACATTTTCGGTTTACTGATAACTGACGTCACTGAAGGACGGTCCACTGAGCACTGGATTACACCGCGGTGTTGTCACTGATACTGGCACGAAACTGACACCGAGATCACCGATGCACTGTCGTTCACTGTAGCACCGACATTTCAGTGACCATTGATCTCACCGAAACGGTGTTCAGTGAAACACTGAAACACTAATGTTCTTTTTCGATGACATTTGTCTGTGCCTTTAATATTATAACAACTTCCGTTATTGAGAGAATAACTCACTAAAAGTTTTGATTGAATAGCAACATATTCGCTTAATGCCTTTTCTTTTTCGATGACTGATTTTATTTAAGTTTATATTCTGTTAACAAATGAAGGAATTATTCTTAATCTATCTTCTTTATATATATTATTACCTCGTATTTTTTAAAGCGTTTTCTATCTTTTTTGTGAAACACGATCTGAAAGGAGTGTTGAAGTGTATAGGGTAGAAATTTTGCACCCCCTCCCCCCTCCCTCCCTCCACAGACCGTTACCGACAGGTGCTGCCCCCATCACAGACCGTTACCGACAGGTGATTCCCCATCACAGACCGTTACCGATAGGTGATTCGCCCATCACAGACCGTTACCGACAGCCTTTAGACCCATCACAGACCGTGACAGACAGCCTTTAGACCCATCACAGACCGTGACAGACAGGCTTTGGACCCATCACAGACCGTGACAGACAGGCTTTGGATCTGTCACAGACGTTGAAAAATAGAGTTTGGGTTCACAAGAGACTCTAACAGGCAAGTGCTGCTTCGTGATGAACCACGAAAGCGATAAAGCGCAGATGAATATTAATAGAGGGAGAAAGTATTTGTGTAAATTTTTCCTTTCAGCTTTTTGAGTTTGTAAAGAAGGTTCTAACAATTAAATACTGAATTTCAAAAGAAGCAATTATTTTATTGATTATGCTAGTTTGTCAATAAAATGGAATAGAAGATAAATAAAACAATCTGTACGATCAATTTATTAATTTCAGTTGAAAAATATATATCTGGTTTTATTTATACCGTCATAGTTAGAAATTAGAGCAGGTGAATTAGATGTTATATTGGTTAGCATTTTTGTGCTTTCGTTTGAGCGATTAAGTCGTTTCTTCTGATGGCTTAATAATTTGTAATGTCTGTCGTTCGCCAGTCTTAGGTCTTTTTGTTCTTGTGATTGATTACGTCGATAACGCCGTTGTCGCTCTCTGTTACTATTTCGAGTTTTAATTAATGATTTTGTTTTTTTTATGGTTTGTTTTTTTGACAAAACATTGTAACATGTACGTAAATGATAATCATTTTTTTGATTTCGCATTCTGTTTCTATAAGCTTCAGGATCATTTTCTTTTTGTCTTTGTCGAGATTTACGCATTCTTCGAGCATGTCTGATAAGAAATGTATCTTGTATTGCTGATTTCATTTAAAAAAATGTTGATAAAAGAAAAAAAAATTATGATTCAGAATAAAATGTCTTCTGACTAAACGCGCTACAATTATATAATTCAAAAAATTTGTTGATCTAGCATAATCATCAATAATATTACTGTAATTAAATATTCATATTTTTAATATAATAAAACATTATTTAAAATTCATTGAAAACTTTAAATATAACAAGATGAACTGAATAATATTATAATAAAATTAACAAAATTCCTGATAATGGCTCGAAAACGATCTGACAATAAAAAATGGAAATCAAGACCATCACGTAAGAAAATTCAAGCTAATCGAAACCGGAAACCATGTAAAATTCGTAAAAACAATTCAAAACCTTCTCGTCCAACAAAACCATCTCAGCAAAGAAGAAAAGTTGAAAATCATAAAAATAGATCTTGTACCGTTTCACCAACTTTTGAAGTACAATCGAATATAGAAACGTTTGATGCTCGAATTGTACATAATTTTCTTAGTGAAAGGTAAAATGTTACATGTATCATTTACCTTGTGCATTAGACAACTCTTTCATAGATATTTATCTGAAATTCGACAATCGTGGTATTCTTGTAAATGTTGTACTTGCGAACATCCATTGTGTAATATGCGAACAGCAAAGAAAGAACACGAAAAATATCATGATTGTTTTGTCGGTGATACAATTTGTTCATTTTGTTATGATTTTATTGCAAAAGATGATGTACCTTTATGTCCACATTCTCGTTTTCGAAATATCATGGAAATTCCCGTAACACCAGTGTGTTTAAAATTAGGCTTTCTCGAACAGAGAGCTATAGCACTCATGCATTGTTATATGAGTATATTAATCATTCGTGGTCATCAATCAGCAATGAAAGGACAAGTAGTACATTGCCAAGTTGATGTTGCTGATAATATAGACGATCTTTTACCACTACCAAAATGCTATGAATTTATGGCAGTTATTCAACAGAAACCGATGAATACAAATGGTGAAATAAGATCAACAGTTAGATATTCAGTTAGTGCCATTCAAATTCTTCGTGCCATTCAATATCTTATTGAACATCATATTGGATACATAAACAAACAAGTTCTTCCGTTGGAAAAGATTGAAGAGATGTTTCAATGTCGAACAGAGGACGTTGCTCCAATTCGAATTATTGATTCATATGCGTACAATAATTCCACAACGTCTGCTCCGATTATTCTTGATGCTGATGAAGCCGTTCTTGGTCCTAGGTAAAAGATGATTTATTAACATTTTCTAAGTATTAAGTTTAAGTATTTCAAAAGTCGTACTCTCAAACCAGGTGAAGATCCTATTTGGAAAATTCAGCCTGGAATGGAAGAGCGCATTTTTCCATGGATTTATCCAACAGGAGAAGGTAGAGAACTTGATGCTAAACGACCTATTCCACTTAAACTTCGTGATTATTGTAAACTTCGATTAATGTGTGCAGACAAAAGATGGCAAGCAGACACAATTTGGACATTTCGAGCGATGAATTTGATTCAAAGAGATGATCTTTGTACAGCAGTAAATTATCATGCAAAAAAGCAATTCAAGAAAGACCGTTTATGTTATAACATATATCCATGTAAGTGCAGCAATATTCTTACTTATATATAATTTAGATCAACAATAATGTATTGCTCACACTTCTAGTAGATAATCTCTTAATAATAAAATGAACATTTATTCATTTGTAAAGAAAAGTCATTATTTATTTTCTTCAATGAAAGTATGGGATCTTGAGATGAAAATTCTTGTGTCTGTTTGTCTATAATACAGATTTGATATGATACAAACGACCATAGTGTACAGATATGGTACAAAGCAGCACCAAAAAAAAGAAGCAATATGAAGGGTGACACATTAGAGTTGTGGTATAAAGGACCATGATATACAGATATAGTACAAAGTACCAAGGATTTTAGTTAGGGTACAAAGAGCCGTGACTTACACTTATGATACTAAGCATCATGAGGTACAACTATAACACCAAGGACGACTGATCGACGTGGTGGTATAAAGTAACACACATCAGGAAGTAGTGTGAAGACTATGCACGTACAGATATGAACGGATCATTTGCCTAATATACTTTTTAATGCATTCATCGAACTAAAAATCTTATATTAGAGACAATTAGGATAGTTACTCACAAAATAGAAATTTCGAAACTTTATCTATAGAAAAATTAGAAGTCAACTTCTTTTATCATTATTATTATTATGTTTTGGCATCGTTTTACTTAACTATCATTACTTTTATATGTAGTTCTATATCAACATGCTCTCTGTCAGTCTACAGCCAAGTAAATCAATTCTAGATTAGTGCTGCTTGTACACAATGTCATAAAAGAAAATTTGAAAGCCTAAAATATCCTACTACATTTTAGCTATTGGGAAAGCTGTTCGAGGTACAGCTGCTTTCTGGTCTGTGCCTAGAAAAATTCTACGCTCAATGTATGCAACACTATCCAAGCCAAATATTTTTTTGAGTATTAATTTACAAGATGATGTGGAATTTTTGACTCATATTGATACAACTCGATTTGGTAATGTGAACAATCCAAATTATGATGCGATTGATACTTTGCCTGATGATGATTATTTACAGCTTGTTAACGAGAATAGTGCAGTAGTAGCACGAATGTGTCATCGACGAATGCTTGCATTTGAAAAATTTATTAGCGATAAGAACCATCCTTTTTCATTGAGTATATTGTCACAAATTATTTCTTTAAAATTGAATTTCAACGTGGTGGTCTTCCTCATCTTCATACGTTACTTTGGCTTGATAACTTTCCTTCTATTGATACACTAGAAGGACGAAAAAGTATTATAGAATTTATAGATAAATTCTTGAGTACATGCTTACCAGATAAACAAGAAGATCCCGAAGGTCATTTACTTGTAAAAAAATATCAATGGCACATTCACACATTTACCTGTTCCAAAGGCTAGTAAATTGTTTTGAAAATATAATGAATTAACAGTAGAGTCTTTATATGTACGTAGTAGTAAAGTTCGTGTACGTCGAGGACGCAAATTTAAAGATGAAGAAATACAAAAAAATATTAAAGAATCTCAAATAAAAGATATCAATAAAAATTATTTACATCAAAATGAAATATATGAACAAGTTGATCCAAACAATGATCCTGATCTTTTACAATTAGCAAAAGAAAAAAAGGAATTTTTTGAACGATTGGGATGTCGTTTTGGAAGTCCTTTTGAATTGGCTAACGAAACACATTTTCGAACATACAAGGAAGCCCGCATATTGACAAGAGGTGATCGAGATATTATTATAAAAAGATTAACTGAAGAAGTGAGTTTAATTAATAAAATTTCTTTATTTTGACTATTCCTTCATTTACATTTTTTACTTATTATTTTCTTGATGCCCAATCGTAGTCTAGACGAATAATTCCGTACAATCTACACTTTTTGGAAAAATTTCGTTGCAGTCATGATATTCAAGTTATTACCGATCCATGGGCATCTGCAGAATATTTATTTTCTTATGTATCAAAAGATGCCCACATGGAAAAAAATTTAGTATATCAAACGTCAAATTGTACTTGTTCGAGTCTTACGGAAGCCAAAGCAATTTTTCTAAAAACAGGTAATGCAATACTGTCTCATCGTCAAGTTGGTAAAGTTGAAGCATCATGGACAGTACTAGGTATACGAATATATCAATAATAAAATTTTTCATCAGCTGTAAATTATAGGCATTCCTTTATATCATTCATCAATAAGATGCAAAAGTTTATATATTTCTTTACCATGGGAAGAAGAAAGAATACTGAAACGTGGACGAACTCAGGTAACTAGCATAGATGACTTTGTTGAATCACTTACGCATCGATATGTGAAACGACCATTTACTCCTTCTGTAATTAATCACATGACTCTGTTTGAATTCTTAACTTGGTTTGATTATGATCGATCTTCTTCAATCCAATTACAAGAAACATTGAAAGAACCACTCGTTGAAAATCCTCTTTGGCGTACTGACTTTAATCAACCACCATTACTGAAAACTTCAAATTATCTTCCTCGGATCGTTTTGTCATGTGGTTCAGTATTGATTCAACATAAGGAACCAGCATGTATTAGTTTTACTTGTCGTTATGACGATTCAATGTTGGCTATGTACTCAATGCTTTCTATTGGAATTCCATATCGAGACCCAATTGAGGAATTCCTGGGTGGTAAATTAGGTATTTTGTATAGATTCTACGAATATATTTTATAAAATATTATGCATTGATTGTTTAGAAAATGATTTGAACGCTATCCATCAATTATTGCTGAAAAGTAAATCCGAGATATTACAACGATTTTCTACATTACCTGGAGCTTACAAAATACAAATGATCAATGCAGTTGAACATTTATGTGACTTAAATGCTCATGATTTTGTTATCAAACCAGGAACGTCATTTATATTTACAACCGAAGATGAAGAAGACGTAGATGATGAAACAAGCAACAATATACAACAAATGAATGATAGTAACATTATCAAGAGTAATACAGATTCCTGTAAGCATGCTTTCTCTGAAAATATTGATGAAGATGACCAGGAACACGTGAATCCCAATGAAGACATGACAATCAATTGCTCTTCTAGTCGTACTGAAGAGTTGCTATTATCAGCCAATACACAACAGCTTTTTTTGGCAAATTTTTTTAGACAATATCTTGCAGCATTAATGCGATACGAAGAAAGCCGATATCGCTCTCAAAAAATCTCAAAACCATTACCTTTTCATATAGTTGTGAATGGTTTAGCTGGCTCTGGAAAATCCTATGTTATCTCTATTATTGAACAGATGTTAATTGATTTTTGTATTAGTGAATCAGCTACTCGAAATCGTCCACGTAGACTAAAAGGATTACTTACGATAGCTCATACCGACAAAGCTGCTTTAAATATTCACGGTTGGACTATCCATACTGCTCTAGGCATGGTAATTGTTAAATTATTTTCATATAATAAATATTGATATCATTGCCAATTAGCGTCCTGACAACACATCTACACCGAATAATGCCCCATCCTTCAAAATACATTCGATTCGGCAAAGACTTGGTGATTTCATTTTAATAATCATCGATGAAGTTTCATTTGTGTCTTACAATCTTTTTCAAAAAGTGAACAAGCGACTAAACGAAGTGTTTGAAGTAGCCGACAAAACTGACGCCTATTTTGGAAACATTCCAGTTTTATTATTTGGCGACTTAGCACAATGTGAACCGGTTTCTGTCAAACAAATTCTTTGGCGACCTTCCGGTGAAACTTTCTCACTTTGGTCCGATTTATTCAGACCAATCAACTTCAATATCAACATGCGACAATGTGAAGATAGAGAGTTCTTCGATATTCTATGTCGGATGAGATTATGTATACTATTCTTTACTGATAGTAGACATCCTAGTAAAATCTTTTCAGGTGAATACAATGAACAGGATGAAATGAAGANGCAGCATTAATGCGATACGAAGAAAGCCGATATCGCTCTCAAAAAATCTCAAAAACATTACCTTTTCATATAGTTGTGAATGGTTTAGCTGGCTTTGGAAAATCCTATGTTATCTCTATTATTGAACAGATGTTAATTGATTTTTGTATTAGTGAATCAGCTACTCGAAATCGTCCACGTAGACTAAAAGGATTACTGAAGATGGCTCATACTGGCAAAGCTGCTTTAAATATTCATGGTTGGACTATCCATACTGCTCTAGGCATGTTAATTGTTAAATTGTTTGTATATCATAAATATTGATATCATTGTCAATTAGCGTCCTGACAACACATCTACATCGAATAATGCTCCATCTTTGAAAATACATTCGATTCAACAAAGCCTTGGCAATTTGATTTTAATAATCATCGATGAAGTTTCACTTGTGTCTTACAATCTTTTTCAAAAAGTGAACAAGCGACTAAACGAAGTGTTTGAAGTAGCCGACAAAACTGACGCTTATTTTGGAAACATTCCAGTTTTATTATTTGGCGACTTAGCACAATGTGAACCGGTTGCTGCCAAACAAATTTTTTGGAGACCTTCCGGTGAAACTTTCTCACTTTGGTCCGATTTATTCAGACCAATCAACTTCAATATCAACATGCGACAAGGTGAAGATAGAGAGTTCTTCGATATTCTATATCGGATGAGATTAGGTATACCATTCTTTACTGATAGTAGACATGATAGTAAAATCTTTTCAGGTGAATACAATGAACAGGATGAAATGAAGATAAAAAGTAGAAGTATTCGAAAAGAAGATAACCCTCTTTACTACAAAGAAAGATTAGCAGAATTACACTCAACAGAATTTCAAAATGCCATATATGCATTCAGTGTAAGAACCAAAACAAATGAGAGAAACTCTATAAAACTTCAAGAAACAGCAATGAAACTAAAAACTCCAATATGGATAATTCAATCCATTGACGTTCGTTGAGACCTATTAAAAATGCTTAATGCTTATTAATGTTTTTTTCTTTAGAAAGTTGGCATGGCTCGATCATTATTTTTTAGTCCAGTACAAGCAAGTAAAAAAGCATGCAAAATTGATTTAAGACCTTCTGATGACGAAAATGAGTGTGCATCTATGTTTGAGCAATTACCAATATGTATTGGCGCACGTGTAATATGTCGACGTAATATTGATTTTGATGGAGAAATGGTGAACGGAACCGAAGCAATCATAAAAGATATTGTATGGGATAAAGCTGATGATATTATCTTACCAATGTCAAATCGATGTGTTTTTCCAAATTTAAATCGAACATTAACTGCGAAATTACCAAAATATATTGAACTCGGTAACAAATAGAGAAAAATAGACACAAAATGATATTTTTCTTTTGTGCTAGAATTAAATAATGGTTCAATGTATAAAATGACTCCAGAAGAAGTTAGTTTCAAAAATCAAAATGGTGTATCGATGACAAGAAAACAATATCCACTCAGTTTAGGCTATGCAATAACAGTACATCGATCGCAGTGTATGACTTATAATAAGCTAGTCGTCGATTTAACTGGTGTAAATTGGAAGCCTGGTATGTTTTATACAATCTTGAGTCGTACACGAAAATTGACTGATATCATTATCTTGGCATATGATCGTAAATCATTCAAAGTAATTAGTATATTTTGTTATGAAATACTGTTTACCATGTTTTAGCATACTAGGTATCTAAACCAGCACTAAATGAGATGTCTCGTTTAAACACAATCGAAGAACAATATCCGATTAAAATTGAACAGTACTTGAAAAATGAGGTACTTACTATTGTTCTTCAAATTTATAAATTTTTATAGATCAATATAGAGATACATAGAGTGGTGTCTACCGAATTCATCTGATTCTGAGCAAATATCAGCAAGAATATAAAATACAAATAAAGAATTGTTATCAAATACAAATAATGAATCAATATCAAATTGCATCAATACAAAACAAATACAATTACAATGCATGTTACCAGTCACAACTTATTCAGTAACAAAACCCGAGCATGTTATCATTTGTGAGGAACACGAAGAACACTTTTGCGGGCGACATGCTCTACGTGCACTCTCACAAAGACTTGATTTATTTACTGATAAGTATTTATTTGATATTGCTGAAGATATAGCAGCTACCGACCAAATACGTCGAAATGAACAACCAGTACAACTTACTGATTACTATTACAAAAACACGGGTGATTATAATATTGAAGTGCTACAACTTGCTCTTCAGAATACATTAAATGTACAGTTTTTACGAATCGATAAGTTAGAAGACAGTAGCTATCCTATTCGGAATCTTATTTTATCAAATGTTGAACATATTCAAGCATTTCTCATTCAACAAGACTATCATTATTATTGTCTTCGTAGTTTTCGATCTACTAAAGATTATTTCTTTAAAATTGATTCTAAACATTCAATGCATCATGAACCTATTCGTCGTGAACGGTTATTCGAATATCTTGCAGAACTTATTGACTCAAATTGCGCAATCTTTATCATCATGGAACATACAGTACAAAATATTAATCAACAAATTACTATTGATAATATTCAAAAAGCATTATGGCCTTTACGAGATGCTCCTGCTGATTTTGAACTTTTCTTCGGACTTAATCAATTAGATATATGATATAGCAACAACGAGAATTACTCAGTATAATTGTCAAAAAGAAAATAACAACAAAATAAATATCGCAATCTAAATTTCATGATAAATTTATTATTAAAAAGAAATTTAATAATGTTTGTACACATATGTTGACCTCTTTTTTAATTCTACCCAAGATTCTTTTTGCCACTCTAGAACTATAGATAGACAAGTTTTATTGAGCTTATTGTTTTTCTTCTTCAATAAACTTCATCCATAGAAGTATAATTTTCCCCTGCAGAAAAAAAAACGTCAAATGCAAAGATTTTCGATCCAAATAAAAATTATGGATAAAGACATAATTTGCTGCTTTAAACGCTTCTTCATATTGAAATACATTCTTCATTTTATTTGCTCTATTATTGTTATAATTCAACTATTTTTATTATTTCCTCATTAAAACACTTCTTAGATATATATAATTACGCCTAACTCATTAGTAATCTTGCATATGTTGTACGTGTAAAATAATACCAATATCTTAGTTATTTTCTCAAATAAACATTAATAATCAAATGTCGAAAAGAACATCTCTGAGCCACTGAACCAAAACTATATTTTTCATATTCAATAACGTTTTACATCATTGATATTTATAATATTAGTATAAAGCAAAAAAGAAAAAGCTATTTCAGTAACGGTATCCACTATTAAAAAAATATTACACTATGCTTTATATATCATTTTTTTCCAACTTCATTTGACTGTTCTTCTTTTGAACTTTGTACATTATAAAAATACTACAAAATGCAACGAACAATTAATATTGTTGAAAGCGACAATATTTTGAATATACAAGGTAGTTCAGTATTGGAAGGTATCATTGTTCTGGTCAGTGATATTTCCAATTTACAACTTGAGAGCAAAGACAAATTTTGCACCGCTTTGTTGTGTACCAAAGATCAGAAAATCCATCGAATAACAAAATATTTATCATCAACAGGAACATCCATGCTTCGTACAAAACTGATTGAGCATTTTAACAATCAATCTGGTGTAAACTTAAACAAGTTGAAAAATAATGGTGAAAATGCGTATGTTGTTATATCTGGAAGGGTAGCTACACCAATAAATCTATCATTCAAATCTTTATGTATTCAACATACAACAATAAATAACATTCAGTCTATGTCAGATGGAGAATATGTAACATTTGCATGTAAAATTATCGACATTGGCACAGCAAACCTTCAAAAAAAAAACAATTTCTTACCAAATATTTTCTTTTTGAGGAGGAAATTGTATTGTTTAATAATGCACATAAAAAAATTCAAAAGTTTAAAAAAAGCTGTTCTAGTGGCTGATAAAAGTGATTGCATCAAATTAAAACTTTGGGAGAATAATTTTACATTTATAGAAAAAGATCAATGTTACTTGATTAGATTAGCAGAAGTGAAAATATTTAATGATGACATATCTGTAACAACGACAACACATACAACGTGAACTTCTGTATTATTTGTCTTAACTTTTTTTATTTATAAACAGCTTTCAAATTGAGAAATATGTCTTAACGTATACTTCTAACAAAATCCCTAAAAATATTTCTAGATTTGAATCTATCGAAAACATCGGTGATGTTGTCTCTTGTGATTTTCTTAACATCATACAAGAATCATCAATACCAGGTACAATAACATCAATCGGATTAATAGAGCAGTCTTGTTTTTGTCTACAATGTTTTTCAACTGATGTTGAGTATAATGGCAACACTATTAAGTGTATAACATGTAAATCAAGATCATTGTATTTAGAACAATCAATTCACGAAAACAAAATAAAACTTAATGTAACCGATATTAATCATACCATGTTTGAATTCATTATTGAAAGATCAAAAATTCAAGTTTTATTAAAAGAATCTAATCATGAACAACTTTGTCAAAACGATCTGCTGGAAGATGAAGATGTATTACTTACCTTGTCTTCCAAGAACGTTTTTATTAATTTTAATTCAACAATGATGCATATAAATACCATTGGATTAAAAAATATCTACTATAACTAAATAAATTTTATTAAACATGAATAAAACTGAGCATTTCTAAATTCCTAACACTTTAAGAAATAATTCATAGCTTTTTTCTATTTTCAAATTTCACCATTTTTCCTATCTAGATATTTATGCTGCTTCAAGTGTCCATTCTACACGTTCGCTGGATCTGATTATTCATATAGATTCTTGTATTTTCTTTCATAGATAAATGTTTATCTACATGGTTATCTCAAAACATCATAAATCAGTCAACAATTTCATACCTTTTACGCTGCTTCATATAAACTTTAAATCAAAAGTATCACCATACTCATTCAAATCGAATTCAAACACACGATGATTTCTGTTTCATTATCATCGAACTATTACATATAATTGTTCAACCAAATTAACTGTAGTATCCTCATAAAACAAAAACTAGGATTAAAGCTCACCAAATCCGACCTTACATTTTTGTCTATTTTTTTGTGAGAAAATTTTTTCATTATCTAACAAATAGCTTGATAATTCTGCTTTCAATAATTATCCGATACTAGTAATTCAGCCAACACTTTCTTTATCGTTCAATAATTTACTATTTTTATGGTTCATACTTAATCTATTAGTATCAACTAAAAAAAAAATTATTTTAAGCACTACCTTATTCATGCAATAAAAAAATAACCCGCTGTTTTTAAAATTTAATTTTCTTCATTTTAATCTCACTTGATTTTTTGTTACTTTAACTCTTCTTAATTTTTTCACAAAATTTTTCCATGAAACGAACATTTGATATGATTCAAAATACGAATAACTCGAATCCAAAACCGAATACAACACTCGAAGGTATAATAGTGGCAGTATCAAATATTTCTGAAAATCAAACTGATAAGAAAGGCAAATATTGGGCAGCATTACTTTGCGATATAAATCAGAATATCAATCGAATAACAAAATACTTGTCATCAAAAACAAACTGTTCCCTTCATGTAAAAATGATCGAACATTTGAATAATCAACATGGCGTTCGACTCAATAAATTAAAGCATAATGGTGATAATACATACGTTGCAACAATTGAAACCATTGCAACACCAACACTCTTAACATTAACACCTTTATGTACTAAAACCAGTACGATTAAAAATATCGAGTCCATGTCCGTTGGTGAACATGTATCATTTGCATGTAAAATAATCGATATTGGTTCTGTAAGAATTTTTAAAGTAATTTACTATTCATGTTACTGGGTGTGGGTGTCGGTGTCGATCTGGGTGTGCATGAAGAGAAGACCCACACCCACACCCCACACCCACCCACACATACCCACACCCACATCCACACATCCACCCACACCCACACCCTTATCTCGGTGAAAATGAAAGAGACCAATAAAAGATTTTATAGTTTTATTGAAAGCGAGAATCTTTCAAATCTCCTGTTAGGAGGTTAGAAGCAATGTGAAATTTGGACTGAATACGTCATGTACAATTTTCTATCAAATGCTGAACTTAAAAAGTCAAAAAAATGATGCTAAAAGGTTTTGTAGCTTTTTCTTGAAAACAGATTTTAATAGGAATTGAATTCATCATCGTGCTCACCATATGAAATAACCTTCGAACACAGCTTTGCAACATACCCAGTATTTTCGACATTTCTTTCTGTGTTAACTGTATAGATGATATAACCGATCGAAACGAATACAGAAGTCAAAAAATATTTATATCAAAACTGAATGAAGATTCAAAGCTTACAGACAGATTATCTGAGATGGCGGACAAATTCACATTTGACTCAATCAATGAATATGTTCTTTGAACAGAATCAAAAATAAAAAGTTTTCCAGCAATTTCTGTGGGGGACCACAAGTCTCACAAACCTTTTAGTCAGCTGTACGAAAACTTACTATAATCACTATAATCAGCATAAATGTTCTTGGGTTCTACAAGGAAGCTTTCAAAAACTCAAGGTTTTGTCAAGGATTTTCTATTTTTCTTGACTCAGAAACCTTTTTATTCAATAAAAAGATCTTATGGAAAATTAGCACAAGAAACTGCATTGAACCATATATCTACTTTTGATCATGTACCAGGCTTATGAAGCACAATTCTAGAGACAAAACAGCTGTTTATTCGCAAAAAAAATGTCATGTCCATATGACACACTATAAGTGCCGAAGGTACTGTCGACTGCGTTTTCCGACTAATTTTACGCTTGAAAGAAAAGTTCACACGATCAACGCCTACTCCATAGTACAATTGTGAAACTCAAAAAAGCGAAAAAGTTATAGAATTTTTAGAAACGAACCTATCTCTTTAAGAGTGAAAGTTTCGAAACAGAAAATGTTGAAATACCGAAAAAATAGCTGGTTCTGGTCAAATCTGAGCTATTGTTTTCGATTGAGAATCAGCAGTTTATAGAATGAGTCTGACTTGTGAATAAATCATATTTTTGATAATCTCAGAATCATGCTAAGATGGTGAGTATGTAGAGCGAAAAATTATCTATCTTGTATTGTTTTTTATTCGTAGAAAACAAGAAATCCTAAAAACAAATTCTTTATGCAACGAGATTAGAACTAAAATTCGATAGAATATTAAATTTCTCAAAGATAGAAAATAGAAGTGCGATGTGTACACTACACTGAAAACAAAAAAGGTGTTCGACGAAACCTTTAGGGTTTGGTGGACGTTTAACGTATCCCAAAGATTACCGTATAATTATACGAAATCCAAAAAAATTTTAGTAATATCCATGGTTTATTATGAAACCTTTATAAGTTCCCAAACTTAGAAAAAGATTTCGTGTAAAACCATATTTAGGCATTGAAGATCAAAAAGGTTTAGTATACAATTCCTTATGAGTGTTGGAGCATGGAAGAGTTTTGTATAAAACTTTTGAGATATGTTGGAGCTTGAAGAAAAAGGTTTCGTATTAACCGATTCACACGTGTTGAGGCATGGAAGGGTTTCGTAAAAAAACTGAGAAAGTTAGAGGAAAAAAAGGGTTACGTATTAGACTCTTTATAAGTTTTAAAACTTAAAAAGGTTTCGCACAACATCCTGTATAAAAGTTGAAGCTTAAGAAGGTTTCGTATAAAGTCCTTTGTACCTTTCGAAACTTAAAAAGGTTTCGTATAAAAGTTTTATGGGATCATTAACTGAGAAGGGTTTCGTTCAAATCTCTTACAGGTTTCGTATGAAAAAGGTTTCGAAATACCGCGTGGCGATGAAAACAGAATCCGACATAAGTAACAGTAACGATCTCTGTTTGACATTATATATAACTTGTTCGAATAGCATTCACTCTCCCATTGACTTTTAGACATATTATCACTGTTGTTTGAACTTACACGTTTCCTTATCAAATTTCTTCTAAAAAAATACAGAAGGGCTTCCTATGTTCCAATGATGTTACAGATATATCTTGTGAAAAGGTACTATCTATTCATCAAACATCTTTTCATGTATCTATTCCATGAAAGACTATGCTTATAAGTTTTATTCTAGTTTACGAAGTGATTATTATTTCAAAAAGAGTGACGATCCAACTTACAGACTTTTCGTAACTTAACGCAACAATTAGTTGATAAGCGAATTTTTAGTCTTGATGTAATTAATTTCGTACATCTTTATCCAGATGGAGATCGTGTTACTTTAGAAATGTACGACGTCAATTCATTTTGGACCTAAGATTTCCTTCCCTTCAAAAAAAGTCAGTCTTCGTTAGAACAGTCGAAATGGAATTACATAAAGAGGAAAGCAGTCCAAAGGCTAGTTTTCCGAATCGATTTAGTTTTCCATTTCGTAGGTCCTTTTCATCATGTTCGGTCTCTTTTTCTCGAAGTGTCCTTTTACAAAGCAAACGGAAACAGTATGTTGTTGTTTTTCATGTAAGCTGATGCGATCATGCGTTCTAATTCTCTCCTGATCTTCACTGTAGAAATATTTCTGTTTTGTTAGATAGACCCTGTCAAGATCTACAGCACGACTGACCACATTTTATTGAGCTTTAGTTTTTGTATACATACAGAAGTTTGTTAAAATTTAACGCCTTTTTCTAGAAGTTTTTCAGATCACCAACTTGTCACTCTATCCTATAAATCAAAAATAAGAACTTCAAAAAAGAATTCTGTCATTCTCTCCATCGGGATATGCTCCTGCAAATAAAATCTGAACCCCATATATCTATACTTAACTCATTAAATCTATTGTTAATTTCTTTTATCTATCTTTAACTCTTGATAGTACATATAAGGAGTTCCGAATACATATAACGGGTGGCCCATAATAAATGACCCTCTCAGTATTTTGACTATAACTTTTTTTTCTTTGTGAACTTTAGAGCTGATTCTTATTGTAAAAGATGCGTCGTTAAATTCTCTACAAAACTATAATCAACATACTTCTATAGTAACTTAAGAAAAAAAATTAAACAAAGATTATTCAATACATTACAAGTACTCAACTTTCAAAGCCAGCAGATGTCTCATGAATAACTGATTTTTGTATCTCTTGTTTTTATCGTCAAGTCCGTTTATTTTAAAATCAAAGTATACTATAAGATGCAACGTGAAAATCTCTATAAGTTACATTGAAATCCTTATTTTATATGTGAACTCTTTCTTTTCAAAATGAACAAAATTCTGTTCCACCAATTTTCGATGCTGCGA